GAAAGAGAGAGAGAGAGAGAGAGAGAGAGAGAGAGAGAGAGAGAGAGAGAGAGAGAGAGAGAGAGAGAGAGAGAGAGCTTGCAGCAGACAAATCAGAACTACTTAATAATCCCAGCTAAACACGGCAAAAATGTTCAGGTTGATTTTAAGGTTCTTTTCCCATTCGTGTCAACGCATACAAATCTAGGTGATAGCAGAGCGGCTCGATTTGTCAACCTCACGACCTTTCCTTAAGTGGGGGTCTATCTGCCCAGCCTGTCCTTTCAGCAGCATCTGACGGGATCACAAAATCATAACCGCGGAAGCACACACACCAATGGGAATCAGCAAGAAAACATAATATTGTGTTTTTGATACAGTAAGTACTTTAATTCTGCGTCCCAGTTTTGTTTGTTTTTTTAAGTAGAGGGTTTTACGGCGCTCGCAACTGCATAAGGTCATATGACCGCCAAGGGGTGGGTGTCAACAGAGAAGTCTTTACAGGGAATCAGACTAAGACTGCTCACCTCTCTAGTTTCAATAGCACAAGGTCTGCTTCGACTATCAAGGCACCCCGGAAACAGCAGGTCACAAGAGAGTGACAAACATACAAAAGAAGTAGAGGAAAAGGACAATTGTAAGGATTAGGAAAGAAAAAGCAGCAGTTCCCTGTTGTAGATCAGGCATAGTTATGAGCGTGACATGAGTCAGCCCATTTACAATTCTACTGTGCATGAACGAGAAATGTCCCCCCTTTGGGAATGGCCTAAAGACACTTCAGTCAGTGGCACCGCCCCTGGGGGTCCGCCCCAGTTTGACTCACAATCTCGGTCTTTCATCGCCAGATTGCATTCATTTTCTGGCAGGAAAAAGAACATCATATATATTATCACTACGGTTAGTATTACTACTGTATTTCAATTAAATACCTCCAAACCATACTGAATTATTTATCCGACGTTCTTTTGTTTATTCAACGGTTAAGCGACATAATTCAGGGAAGAAAAAAAAACAGGCGTTCCTGCAGATTCGAATGGCGTCTCGTAGAAAAAAACCTTGATTAGAACAATCGCATTCACACACATTCTTGAACAGAGAAGTAGGCACGTTCCATAATCATTTAATAAATGAAGGAATTTCACACTAGCGGACTTTAGTGCTAACAGGGACACCGAATATTTACAATCTTTTAACACGAAGCAGTGTTCAAGAATGCATTTCAGAAGTCCATCACTCGTATACATACCCACCGTTGACGAAATAATTCCGTATTCAATCAACACTCATGCTTTGTGAAGAGAAGTTGAAAGAGATACCTCCTTATAAACAAAGACGAACAAAGCGATACAGTTTGCTCCGTAGTAAACAAACTTCAAGTATCTTACGTAGCAGGTGCTTGTGTGAACAGCAATGACAACAAACCAGCAGGCTCCCTGTGTGAGAAAGTCACAACAAACGTAATTGTGCCCAGGAACGTAGAACAATAGACAGTATTGTATCCAAGGTGTCTTAGTACGGAACAGCTCGGGCTATTCCACTATAAAACTGTCGCTCCAAAATTAGCTTAACGTACAGCTTCGTATACCTCCTCAACGTTTGGCGCTGAATCTCACGTCGTACTGTGTAGATGTCGGAGAGACCGTGACATTATGTGGTTCAGGAAGCGCAGAAAATATAATATGAACTAATAGATGCGCTAAACAAATTAATATGAAAATCAAAACAGCTGTATCCTTTTTGGCTATACTTCTAATATAAATACCGCTTAACCCTTTTCCCATGACACTTTTCGAGGGATAAAACTGAAGCAGCGACAATGACATCCTGTTACATTGGCAAGATAAAAGAGTCAACCGTCTTGAATTGTTGGGCTTGGTTGGTTGAGAGGAGAGGGGTGGTGGGCATCGGATTTGAGCGGAAAGGTACGACGTGCCATAATAAGAGCGCTGGAATTGAAAACACTTTTTGTGCTCACATTATTGAAGTTTTACCCTCGACATGGGTCTTTTACACTATTAATAGTGGTGTCAGTGATGCCTATTTTATTAACCTTTAGAAAACACAAGTTTCTTTTTTGGTACAGCCCTTGAAGACACGCTGTTTTGGGGCATTTTGTTAACCACCCCCTTTAAGATTATTGTGTTATTTGAATTTTTTAGAAGGCAGTGTGTGCTTCACGGGTGCTCTGGTGTGGTTTGCTTCTTCTTTCCTATCAAACATCTATAGTCCTTATCTCTCCTCCTCCTTTTTTGTGTTTGTTACTCTCTTATAACACATCTAATCTTCGGCACTTATATGATCTTAAGGTATTGTAAGTGCCTTTAAAACACTTACTAAAACATAAAAGGCAAACTACACCACGCATACTATGAAATATGTAAATTCGTGTTTCTGTTCTGGATATTATATTTCGAAATGTGTCACAATATGCTGAGCGGTTTGTTGTCGGACATAAACTTGTCACCTACTTCTTTAAAGAGTTAACGCAACAGATTTCAAAGTACGAATGCACCGCACCATGCTATTAAAATAATTTGGGTCAACTAGCCTCAAAGTGCAAAAACACTGCAGCATTATGATATGTCCTAAGTCGAAGATTGCCAGGTTCTATGGGGCAGACCATATGAAAGCATCTTTTGTCGCCCATTTGGAGTGTTTTAAGGGGGGTTTTTTTTCACTTAAGTGCCATCGTGTGACAGAAACATCCTTGAGATGACTACTCTCATTTTAGACTTTCAGGGTCAAACGCAAATGAGTGTGTTTAGGGCGTGGGTCGGTTGTCTACATCCGTATTTACCTCGAGTGCACAATAGATAAACAAAATTACAAAAATAGACATTGTCGCCTCCAGCGAAACAAGGAGTCATGGGGACAAAGAGAATAAAGACAGGGGAAGAAAAAGAGAGAGAGAGCGAGCGAGAGAGAGCGAGCGAGAGAGAGAGAGAGAGAGAGAGAGAGAGAGAGAGAGAGAAAGAGAAGGGAGTGATTGGTTGGGTGACTTCCAAACAGATTGGTAAAGACAACTGCATGGGGAATGCACTGAAAAAAAGACTACCCATGTGCACCAGTAGAAGACAGAAAAAAACCACGAAAACACTTTGTATAGTTTCCAGCTGATCAGATCGAAATATTTAGGGAATATTTCCAGCACCATCGATTTTCTTTTGTACATGATTGATCTATTTTGAGAGTACTACCTACTTGCTTACAATCAAGACTGCTGAAACAAAAATTTATTAAGGCATTGAGTGCGATCAT